GTGCTTGGCAAACCTGAAGGATATGTTATTGTTCATGTTTCAGGAGGTCAAAAATTATTGTTTGCTGGTACAAATGATCCAGCTGCACTTATGGAACTTACCTCAATCGGATTACCAACAAATCAAACAGCCAAAATTAGTAAAGAAATTATGAGTCTTTTTGAAGAAAAACTTAATATTAGTGCAGATCGAATGTATTTGAAATTTACAAACGTAACTGGCAATATGATGGGTTGGAATAAAGGAACATTCTAAAGTTTTATCTACTTGTGCTCACATAATAGATCAAACATTGTCTAAGTCATATCCTCTTCTTTTTCTCCTTTCTTTTCTCTCACGTTTTTTTTCTCTTATTGTCGTTATCTACATAAGCACATGTATTCCACTCTTATTCGTGTGTGTGTATTCAGAACCAAATAATAAAGTTACATTAATCCTTAACAACAAAAACGTTCTCAAAACCAATCGATGATTGTACTTCTTACATAAATTGTAAAGGTGGTTTAGTTATAAAATCATTAATTGAAAGCTAATTATATCGGATGATATTGGACTTTAGAAGAAATAAAAATTGTTTGCATGTTCACTTTCTCTATGAATTTTATGATAATAAAATATATGGACGTAAAACATATTTTATTCAGCTCAGGAATCGTATCATTTCTTTATTAAATTGAAATAAAATACAAAAAAACTTCATTATACACAGCGCATATTTAACTTATACTAAATCTACTAGTTAAATTTTAGGAGAGAAAATCTTTAATGAATCCTGTTAGTCCAAATATCTATCAAACTTTTAACCGATGTATCATAGACTAAATATTAGAGACTATCTCAAAATTGTAAAAATCAGTTTTTTTTTGTTGTTGAATAATCTATTAATTAAACTTTTATCTTTTAGATCGTTATATTTAATGACCAATTTTCTAATGAACAACTTCGTCATGTCATATATCAATGATGTAATTCATGCTGGTTTCATTGATAGAAAAAAACAATTGAATAAATAAAATAGTTTTCCTTCATTAAAAAAAAATCATGGTCGTTGGTTTTTCATGATTAGCTAAAATGCATTAAAAATATTGAATTTAATTTAACAGGCAACGAGTAACTGAAGTGCACAAATTATTTGTTCCTTAATGTTCTTTAATAGATTAAAATTGAATTACGTTGAAATCATTTAGAAGCATAAGATGAAATCTAGCAACTAGAATCATTTTTCTCTTGATATCTTATTTTGTAAATATTTTCCCTTGCAACAAGAAATGAAGAATTATTTTTGTTTGTATACTTCACATTACATTCATATAGGATTAGAAATTGTATGACAAGATGGCTATCATCGATAATAAAATGATACCACAACAGTACGAATAATAATAAGAAATGATTTGTTTTTTAAAAGCATCGTTTTCTCTTCCATTAAATACTAGATTCGATTTTTTTTTATTTCGTTCGTTTTTACATGATACTTTGATAATAATTTTTCTAATGTCTGTCACGAACAACATGAAATTGAAACCATCATCAATGACCATAAATTCAACCAATATATTCAAATCTTGAAGGTTATACATTCACAAACTAATCATATCTTTTCTACTCATCTAAATAAAAAGCTGGAAAAAAAAGTGGTTTAATTTATTAATATAACGAAAGCAAAATTTGAATCAATTATTGACTAACTGAATCATTAGTAATCGACTATGTTTTTTTATAATGATGGATTCCTCTAGTATGTCTACAGAATAAGTAGTAGAATGTAGACGAAGAGTTAATGCTTCATTACTCAACAGACTATATAAAAAAAAGTGGTGAAATAAGTATCCTGATTGTTTTATAAGCATAGATTATTCTAGGCAATAAACGATGCATACACGAATGTAAAAAGAAAAAGTTTCATAAATCCGATTAAACTTGATTTTTCTAGTATTAATTGATTAGATTTAAATTTAATTCTTTTTTTCTTAACAATATGTTTCATATAGGACGAATTCATTATACAGAGTTTTAACAAAAAAATTCATTTTAATAAGTTTTACATCTCAAAAGTCAATTTCATCAGTTTGTTTTTACATTTTTTTTCTCTACAGTTTCAGATTGTCAGAACACGTTAGTTAATAGTGATTGAATAAACTCCACACTCTTTTCTCGAAACCTTACAGTGCATTTGTATTCAAAGGCATAAAAAAAAAACATTAAAAAAAAAATAAATGCTCCGTTTTTTTTTACGACCATATCCTTTTTTTTATCATCGATTACGACTGTTATTATTCAGTATTTTCATTCTTTCGTGCATGAATATGCAATGCCCTTTTCTCTTCGTTATTTTTCAGTTTCACAAGGAAAGAAAGAATCAATTGAGGAGTGCATTCATCCTGCCTCAAATGTGTATAGTCAACTACTTAAAAGAGAGTACTAGGCCCTGAAAATAGAGAATGGAAAAAGACTAAAGTCAATAAACGAAAGAGAGAGAAAAAGAGAAATGATGCACCTATGTATTCGTAAAGGCATCTCTCATATTAATATCATCTAGTTGGCGAACGGATTTTTTTTCTCATATACTCGAACTGATAACATAAATCCTCAACACATCGAATATACAGAAAAACAAATGAGCATGAAACCTGATGTCATACGTTCATTTCAACCATCAGATGAAACAATTGGTGAGTCAAAATGAAACCACACATTTAAAGAAAATGAAAAATGACCTTCATAAACTTTTGTTTGTGTTCTATTTATTTAAATTGTTTTGATACGACAGATATAGAAAAAGAGTATCTTTTTTTTCACTTTTTTTTGAAGATGAAAACTACTTGTTTTTTGTATTCATTAAAAATTTTTATTCAATCGTAGTTTGAAAAAAGTCGTCAATTCAACATTGTGATCACATTGAGGCAGATGTAAAGTAATGACTGACGAGAAAGTATATGAAAATAATGACTTTTCCTGCAGCAATTACTCGACGTCTTTCAAAACATGATCAATTTTCATTAGGTCAGATTTCAAAAAAAAAAAAAACGTTGCAATCTTAAACTGGCGGTTACTTTTTTTCAGATTCAACTCATAGCGGAAAGAGGAATCCCTTAAAGAGTGACTATGACATCCTAAAATATGCTGTAAATCGTTGGTTAATATCGCGTAGAAATTCAACAATCCTCATTTTTGTTTTCTTGAATTCTTTGTGTAATTTTTTTTTTTCTAACAGAATATATCGCACTGCAGATGTCATATTTTTCTTAAAACTTCTTACTATAAAGTTTTACGTTTTATTGACGAAAATCCTGTAATGCTAGACGAAAATTATTCATCACAATGTCTTCCTATCTTTTTTTCTTATTTGTTCTCATAAAATGAGATTTTAATAAATTTAATTTACTCTTACAAAACATTGATTTCTTTACATCATCCCAAATCAATAGATTCCCATTGGAAAACTCAGAAAATCAGAATTTCGATAGATATATTTTTATCTTCAATTAATAATTACAAAATTTTATTAAATCATTTTCTTTGATTAGGTTTTGAAAAAGCATCACGACTATTAATGGTTGGTGGTGGTTGTTTATTAATCGTTTTGATATTTGGTATTATTCTCTGTCGTTTAGATATGTCGGCTGGCAGGAGTAAGCCAAAAATAAATGTTTTATTATTATTTTATATTTCTTTTTATTTTTATTTTTTGCTAATACCAGAACGACGAGCACAAAGTTTTCATCAAGTTGAAAGTTAAAAAATTAAATCCTGAGAAGCAAAAACAATTCAATAAATAATTTTTTCTTGTATTAGTTCTACTTTTTATCTTGCTAAAAAAAAATAAATTAGTTAACATATCTATTTTATTTTCTTCTTTTTCTTTTTTCTCTATGTTGCTGTGACGAATGTTATTATACATCATCATCATCATCAAAAAAAAACAAAAAAAAAAATTAATAAAAACACAAATTTACAAAAGCCATAATTTTGAATAAATACTATCTATCCTTTTTTATATTGTGATGTAATGCATATTTCAATTTCTTAATTCGTTTGTTTGATATTAATCTTGATTTAACTAAAGTTTTTTCGAGCAATATTTGATTCAATATTGGCCATTGTATATAAGTGTTTGAATAAATAATTTTCATTGTTCTTTTTATTTTGAAATTTTTATATGCAACACTCTGTCTTGCATGCATGTCGTTTGATCTTTTTCGACACATGCAGACGGTGTTGCATAATCCTCAGCTTGGATGTTTTTTATAATAGCTATAAAAAAGATCATAATCAACCAAGAAAACAATTTGATAATCAATACGATCATAATCAGGATATAAAAATAATTTACGTTGAAGATCAAGACTTGTTGCTGCCTATTAAAATAGACAGTTTATTTATAAATAGTTGAGAAAAAAAAGAAAGAAAATTTTTTCTTACCATACCACCAAAAATAGTTGTCGTAAATTTGCCTGGATTAAAAATTTTTAAAATTTTACGAATTATTTCTTGATATTGATTGTATGAAACATTTGTTTCAAAACTAACATATGAAAAATTAGGTTCTGGTGTTATATGAATTGTAAAATAATGACCATCAGACAATAAACCATTCATTGAATAACCACAAGGATCAAATAAATAATCAAAAATTTTTGCATTTGGAAATAATTTATCAATGCCGGCTTTCTAAAAAAACAAAAAAAAAATTCAATAGAAAATATTTCAATAATGAAATTTTATTTTATTAAGATTATGTACTTTTGTTGCTTCAGTAGCTGAATTTGTATATTCTTGATAGAAGATTTTCATCTTTTCTGGATCTAATTCAGTCATAATGACTTCTAATGTTTGATCGGATTTTGCATTAACACGAGTTTTATCAAGTGTATACAAATACCTAAACAATAGAAACAACTATTCAATCATAATTTTTATCATATGCAATACACCCTACAGATTTTTATAGTATCATGTATTTTCTCTTCTTGATGCATAGCAAAAAGATATATGAATATTGAATCCGAAAAAAAAAAATTCTTTTTCAAAGTACGTGAAAATATGAAAATTTCTTTGCCTTTGAATATATACAAAAATAATTAAGAACACAATGTATAGATTCAAAATATTAAAGAAATTTTTTGAGATTCTTTTTTATTGGTAAAATAATAAGTATTCTAGGATTGTAAACAGATTACTATTGTTTTATGTTTGAATATTCGAACGATAATCAAAAATTAATTATTAGTAATAATTTTCATAAAATTCAAATA